CTAGAATGACAGAAAATCCCCTAGAATTTGAACTCAAAATTGAGCTCAGACAATGGATTTCAATAGGGGAAAATGGTTGGGATGAACTCAAGGCAGCTTGGAGGCTCTGGAAGCAAATTGACAGAGTTTCTCCAAAGAATTTGACACACTTTTCAGATGGTCGAAAATGGGGCTTCTTATAGCCATGGCCAAGGGGAGGGCCTCAGGCTCTAATTGGCTGGTGCAAGAAGGCTGAGGTGGAGGGCTGAGCGGCGCAAGCTTCTAATGGGGAAGTGCCACAGTGGATCGGTTCAGTTTTGGGTTTTAAGGTGAAGTGGTCTGCTCGAATTTGAGTTTTTCGGTGACTAGGGTGGCTGGCCAGAGGTGGGGTGGTGGTTAGCTAGCTCAGAGAGGTCACGGGGAGTCTTAATTGTGATTAGCTTGGGGGTTTGATGGCTGGTGGCAAGTTTCTACTTAGTTTAGCCAAATATGGGAAGAGATCCCCTAATTCAAGGTACCCTTGGTCCATGACTCATGTAGGTTGGGCTGAGTGGGTCTAGCCTGGTTCCTAGGGCTCAAATGTTGGCTGTGGTAACCATCATTTGGTCAATTTCAAGTGGTTTAGCCAATTTGAGAGTTTGGGTTCAAAATTGGGGTTTTGGTTTGGGTTTGGGTCTAGGTTGGGTTTGGGCTAGGAGTTGGGTCAAGTGATTGGTCAAATTGGTCCAAGAGATTGCGATGAAGAGTTTTGGGCATCAATTGGTTGGAAATTGTGGAGTTATGGAGTTCAATTTGGTGACATTTGGATTTTAGAGCAAAATTGGGGATTTTGACTTAGGTGGGATTTGGGTGCGGTTTGAGCTTAGGTTAAGTCCAATTGAGGGCTCAAATTGATTTAGGGGAATGTTATGAAGAGTTTAGAATTCAAACTTGGGAAAATTGATTTAATTATGGGGTTCAAGTTGAAGGAATTTGAGTATATGGTCAAATCGGTGATTTTGGGATTGGGCTTGATATTGGGTTCAATTGAGCTTCAATTTGGTTTTGATTGGGATTAAACATGGTTAGTCTTGATTTGTAATTGAAATTGGGGAAGTTTGGAATCAATTTGGTGGAAATTTGGGGTAACTTGGGGTAATTGGGACTTGAAGAGCAAAATTGAGATTTTAGTCAAAATTGATCAAATTGGTTAAATTGGACTTCATGAGTGGTCAAGATTGGTTTTGGGTGTGTTTGTAATGATTTTGTAGGTTTTGGGAATTTTTGGGCCACCAAGGATGTTTTGGTTATTTTTGCAATTTTGGGGGTATTTTGAGAATTTTAAAAATTTTGGAATGTTTTGGGCAATTTGAGTGGTTTAAAAGATTTTGAGATGATTTTGGATAAAATTGGGTAATTTAAGTAATTTTGAGAAAGTTTGGGGGCAAAAGACTAAATTGAGTATTTGGGTAGGATGAGATCAATTGAGGATGCTAATCATAAAATTTCCTCTTTTTGAGCCATGAGACCAAGGGACCTCCCACTATGGATCCTCCATGTGTTGGTCGTATCCAAACTCTAGTCGAGGGCTAAGGGTTTAGGGGACCATCCACATGAGTTTCCAAAAGAGTAAAAGATCAAGCTAAGCATGTATATGTTAGGGTTTAGGCCAAAAGTGAAAGGGAGGGGTATCAAGTGTGTGTGTGCAAGACTAACCAAGACCACACCGCCCAGATCTAACCCTGAGGCCAAACAATCATATGGGGACTCTTCTTGAGCTCCCCCATATTTTCACCTACTGAGTACTAGAGGATAGAACCAACATATGGAACTTCAAGATGAGCAAAAAAAAGTTTTAGGTTTTCTAATGATGGGGGTTCCTTTAATAGTCTTCTAGGAATATGCAATAGGAAAATTGTACCGCTAGATCCTAGGCTTCAAGGAAGAGACTAGACCTCAACCAAAAGTGAGGTCAACAGGTACAAGACTATGCCGATGCAAATTTAGCTGGAGACATTGATAGTAGAAAGAGTACTGCATGCTATTTTTATACTCTTAGTGGTACTGCAGTGTCATCGGGTTTCAATCTACAGAAGACAGTTTCGTTATCCTGCAGAAGATGAGAACATCACAATGTCAGAGGTTGCAAAGTAAATGATATGACTGTACAATTTCTTGGAGGAATTGAGTAAGGATGTTCAAAATGACACTCTCTACAGTGATAATCAGAGCGTCATATTTCTTGCCAGGAATCTAACATTTCAATCTAGGACCAAACAAATTCAGATTAAGTATCACTTCATTCAGTCATTGTTAGATGACAAACAATTGCTACTTGAGAAAATTTGTGGAAGCAAGAAACCTGTTGATATGTTGACTAAGGGTGTTACACTTGAGAAATTGAAGTCATGATTGACTTCAGTTGGTCTTCTTGCATGAAGACAAAGATTTTGGGTTGCAGAGGTAGCAAATATTACGTTTGAGGAAAAGGACGGTGCAACCAGTAGAAGATGCAGCCGATGTACCTGTCTCCAAGTGGGAAATTGTTAGTTTTAGTGGAGCCCAGGTCCACTTGTAGAAATTAAATGCTTGCACGCCACCATTAAATGCTTACAGAAGAAATTGGATTAAACAATGGCTCTCTCCTCCGCAATTCTATATAAGGCGTTGGCTCATGGTGAAGAAAAGTGAATTGTAAGATTCCAAGTTCTCCTTTCGTCTCTTCTGCGATTTGCTTGCGCTGAGGACTACCCTCTTCCCCGCGATTCGTTCTTCTTCGGTGGCTCACGGGAAAAGGAGGAGAGAGGAGGTCGAAGGAGAGGAGAGAGAAGAGAGGGAGAGTTTTGTTGTAATCGTCAAGGTGATCGATTGGTGCATCCCTCAAAGAAATAAATCCTCTGCAACTCCATGAACGTAGACAATTTGTCGAACCACGTAAATCTGTGTTCTTTTGATTTGTGAATTTTTTCTCGATCTAATTTTTCGTTTTATTGCCGTCACATTTTTCACAACACACCTTTTAATAATTTGATCACCCATAATTACATTTATGTCACTAGAGCTACTACTACTAAAATTACATTCCATGTATTCAGTTTTAGTTCTATTCAAACGAAGGCCTTTAGACTCCATTGTAGACCTCCATAATTCAAGCTTTCCTAAGCTTTCCCTCTCATCTTATCCACAAGAAGGATTTCACCAGCAAAAAACATACACCAAGGTACATCCTCCTGCAATTTTCCAGTAAGACCATCCATAACTAAAGCAAAAAGATATGAGCTTAAAATCGATCCTTGATGTAATCCAACATAAATAGGAAAATATTTGGTCAATCCTCCTTATGTTTGAACACAAGTAACGACTCTAATATACATATCTTTAATGACTTGAATATAAGTCATTTGAGCACATTTTTTTCAAGAACTCTCCACAGGATATCTCTTGGAACCTTATCGTAAGTGTTTTCCAGATCAATAAAAATCATATGTAGATCCTCCGTATTAACTTTGAACTTCTCCATCAAATCTCTCAATAAATGTATAGCTTCCATAGCATAAATCCAAATTGATTAAGAGAAATCTTTGTAATACGTCTTAACCTCTGTTTAATTACCCATAATTTTAAAGTATAACAAATCCACTTAATTCCTCTATAATTTGCACACTTTTGTGCATCTCCTTTATTCTTAAAAATGGGAACCAAAATACTCTTCCTCTACTCTTCAGACATCTTTTTAGTTTTTAAATAATATTAAAGAGTTTAGTTAGCCAAGAAACTCCCAAATCTCTTTATATTTCCACACTTCAATTGGAATATTATCATGTCCTATAGATTTTGCACCATTGGTTTTCTTTAAAGCCTCCTCAGCTTCTTTTTTACTAATGTGATGGTAAAAATAAAACATTTTATTATTAATGTACTTTGTAGCCATTGAATATATTTTGGAATGTGTAATATGCAAGTAATCAATCAAAATTTATATTCCACTCATCTCAAAATAAATCTTGTGACTATATGAAACCCATCCAGACCAACCAAATTTAAGTAAAGTTATACTCAAGCTTTTTATTTAAGAGATTTGGTGTTGTATAACTGCCAACTTCATAACTTTGTTTTAAAAAGGAAAGTGTTTAGGCATTTTGGTTTGGCCATTGAAGTATATTTTAATGGCTTAAGTGTTAATTTGGGACACCATGGTCCATTTCAATGCTAATTTTTGGAGAACGGTTTAGATCATGTCCTTTTATTTATGTATTTATTTATTTATCTGAGAATTATTAGTGTCAAGGTATAAATTTGATGCATGCGACATTCAAATCCAGATTTTAGGATAACTTAAAGGAAGATTTGCATACATTTCACTTAATTCCTATGCATTTACGTATCTAACACCTAAACTTCAATTTTTAAATACATGTCATCTTACCTATGCATTTCGCTTTTTAAAGTTAAATTGTTGCTAAAAATGTAAAAACTATAGTTTAGGTGTTAGATATGTAAATACACATAAAGTGGGTGATTTGTATGTAAATGCCCCTAACTTTAAAGATGTTACTAGCTAACCTAGGTGTCACCCACTTTGCCATGCTCTCCTGGCTGTAAATTGATACAAATATGGGCAAGTTCTTGTTGAACTGCACTTAGTGGATGGGTCTCGCCAGTTGGGTGCACTCCAATAAATGATCGCCATGTTTGTGAGACTTATAATTATGTGGGCATGTAAAGTATTTATCATGTTCGAGCAATGTACCAAAAATAGTTCTCTGAATTTTTATTGTGGCCATTTTAGTCCAAAGTCTATACAAATGCCAATTTCGTCCCCAGAGTCTTTAAATTGGGGCTGAACTAGTTCGTCGTGGGTATTATTTCAACCCATATTAAAGGAGTATGGGAATTAAGTTGACATTTTTATGTACTCCGGGTCTAAAATGACCATTGCAAAGAGTCAATGGTCTAAATTGATGCTTCTGTCATTTTTGATTCTTTTGTTCTTCACTGCAATGATATTTAGCAGCAATTTGTCATTATATTTTTATCGACAGGCTGGTCTAGCGAAACTCATAGGACTTGCTGGGGATACGAATATCCAGGTGTCTTTCATCCCGATAAGTGCTTTTTTCCTTTTAAAAATCATTAATCTAATTGATATGCTCACCTTATGAATGTTTCTTGTTAAGTATTTTCTTCATCAAGATGAAGGGCTTTTGCTTCTATTTTGAAACACAGGGAGAAGAACAAAAAAAACTAGATGTTCTTTCTAATGACGTTTTTCTGAATGCTTTGATAAGTAGTGGGAGAACAGTATGAATACTCATTTTTGTAAAGTCCTTTTTTATTAATTTGTTATTGTGAGACAATAATTTTGGTTTCATGAAACTTGGAAGGCCATTCTTGTCTCGGAAGAGGGTCAGGAAGCAATATTTGTGAGTCCGCCATTCCGTGGAAAGTACGACTTATTTCCTCATATTTTGAATATTTTCTTGATGATTTCTTCTTGAAGTCACTATTTATGATTTCCTTTCGTCTCCTTTATTACTAATATGAGGCTTCATACTCTTCCAATAGTGCAGATACTGCGTTGTATTCGATCCGTTGGATGGTTCCTCTAACATTGACTGCGGTGTCTCAATTGGAACAGTATGCATCTCTTATAATTTTACCAATCACGTTCGACTCGGAGATCAATATTTGGATGGCTATCTGATTTACATTTTATATTTGAATTTTGCATAACTTTTATTTCTCTACACTTTACTGGTTCTACTTCTTTTGGTTGTAGATATTTGGAATCTACATGTTGAAAGGATCAGATCCAAAAATTGAGGATGTTCTGCAGCCGGGGAAAAATATGCTAGCTGCTGGTTATTGCATGTATGGAAGCTCCTGCATGGTAAATATCGATGATATTGTTTTCTATGCTCCCTCCGTCTTTTTACCTTGACAACGAAATCTACTGGATTTTCCAGAGAACATTTTAAAGGAGGGGCATTTACATAGATAGGACACAATTCTTATGTATTTACATATTTGTATTTTCACATACAGCACTCAAATTTTTAATATCACATAAAAATAACATTATTACCTATTTTTAAAAGTGAAATATTCCTTTTATGCATAAGTTTAAAGCACCAAAGTGCTATGTATGTAGATATGAAAGCTTAGGTGTGAAATATGTAAATACATATGAATTGAGTGCTAGGTATGTAAATTTCCCTCTAAAGAAAAAGTGTCTATTCACTCTGTCAGCACCGGCATATTGTCTCTAATTATTTATTTTCATTTATTTTCAGCAACTGGCCCTGACTTGATCTCATTGACTTTAGCTGGCAATGTTAATCTTGTTTTGAAATTCTGAATTGCAGCTTGTCTTGAGTACTGGTAATGGTGTAAACGGTTTTACTCTGGATCCCTCTCTTGGGGAGTTCATATTGACTCATTCTGACATACGGGTTAGTTTATTTTCCCTCCAGTGAAATGATTGGGAAGACATTGCCTGTCATTTGCTTCAGGAAGACGTTGCTAACTTTAATTGCGAAAAATAGCCTGCTAGAGTAAATGTCTACTTAAATTTAAATCAAAGATCTCCTTGAACTTTTATTTGATACTTCTGTGATATAATTGATTGTTTAAAAACAAAGGTCAAACGTTTTGTTTCTTTGGCAATGTGATTGCTAGAAGATAAGAAAAACCATGTTTCTTCTACTTTTATGTTATAATGGTAAGTTTTTTTTCTTGAAGTCTGATTTTTGGGACATTTTCTTTCTGTCCAATAATCTCTTATGTGCATGGCAAGCCAAGTGAGGTGGTGAATTGGGGTATTTCAAATTTATGTGAAATTGAAAACTTAATGCAAGTAGTAGATGTAAACTAATAGCAACAAAGTAAGACTTTCACAAAAAAATAGTGCAGTAAAAAAGGTAGATTGAACACAAGAATTCTTGTGGTTCATATTAATATATGATGATGTATTCAGTTTATGCGGTGTTTGGTAGCATGCTATTTATCGAATTTAACCACAAATTTAGCTTAAATCTAGCCAAAAAAAAAAAAAAACCAACTCTCTGTTAACTCTAATTTTTTTACGTTCTATTGTTGTCTTCCCGCATTCCATTATTTTGATGACGTAAATTCGGATTTAGTAAATCCAAATTTGCAGTGGATTTATTTCGTCGTTGGTCGCAATTTCGTTGGCGTGATTATGAGTTTGATAAATCCTATTTAATGTAAAACTTAGTTGCAGCCAAACACTGCCTGAGCATTATAAATTTATTATGTACCAACCTCTTCCTATTATTTATGATACCTACTATTGTCTAATAAATTCACATTTTTTAATTAATACTTCTAAGCACTATGTAAGAATATGACTTAAAATATGTTGAATTATCCCATAACTGCAAGTAAATAGTATGAAGAGGGAAAGGGAGAGGATAGGGGCTTAAACTTTCAGCTATAATAGAGAGAAGCTATTGAGATAAAAGGGATAGTAGAAAGAAGTTCTTGTAGGCAACAGGAAAGATGACAATATCTGCCACAAAAATAACCATGTCTTTGTCACGACTCGGTCTAGGACTTGGAATTAACCAAAATGAGAACAGTCAAACAGTGGGAACTAAATTTTCGATATTAATCCACAATTTAACAAATGAAAAAAACAACTACAAATTAAATTAAAGCGAATCAATTATAAATACCTCGTTACTTGTTGTACTCGTCTTCTATAAACATTTTTTCATCTATCGTTCATCTTTTAATAGCTAATTTCATCTGAAAAGTTAATTTAAAACAACTGTGAGTTAAACGAGCCGGTGAATATTTATACTCCTAAACTACAATAATACAAGAAAAAAAAATGATATGCATGTCAGTTAAGTTTTTTTATAAATTAATATAAACATCTGACATGTTATTTGAAGGGGCATATATCATTATTATTTTATATCCATACAATCGTCACAGGAGACACCGTCTAAAAATTGTGTCAATTAAGAGACATCAATATCTATTTTCATTTACGTCCACGGGTACATTAGTGTTCCCCCTACTAGTACCATTAAGGGGGTGCTCTATCATTGTAAATCATGCAAATGCAAGCTTACAGTAAATCAATTCGTTTACTTTCCATATATCATCCAATATCTTTCATGCATGTGTAGTAAATAAGCATAGCTATGCAAATCATTCACGTTCATTTATAGATGATCAAATTTAAAATAAATAAGCAAGAATAATCTTATTCTAATCGCAGTAATAAAATATATTAATTAATGACATTCTAATGCGAGAGATTTAGAAGAATATAACATTATTAACATAATTTAGAAGTAAAAGTAATCAACTCAATGACGCTTATTCAATAAGATTTGCCCCGATATCCATTCTTCTAATATGAAATGCCTTAAATAAACAAATATTTAATTTACCTCTGGCATGAGACTTTCTTCCTCCCAAGCTTCCTCGTCTGCTCGGCAGCGCGCGAGATCTCCTTCCTTAACGACGTTTCTTCTTTTCCTTTTCTTTTTTGCTGGTAGGCTTGGCACAGGTTCCTTCGCCGCTCCCACCACTTCTTTTCGCACCGGACCAGTCAAAGATTGACAGAACTCCTTCGTCTTCCTCTTCGACTCGACTCGACCCTAACGCAACGCTCGCCGTCTTTCGTGCTGCTCGACCCACCAGTAAGTGAACCTTGCCTTGGCCAGTCCTTTTATAGGCGGACTGTCTCCTTGACTTATGATCCCATAGTTTCCTCTCCTCCCTTTCGGCTGGCCACAACTCTTCGCTTCTTCTTCTTCTTCCTTTTCTCCCCCATATTCCATCCATCGTCGATTCCCTTCCTCAGGTAGAAACGAGGCATTGCAGTCTTCTTCTCCACATTATATCCCAAGTTTTGCACTAGATTGTTGTGCTCCTTCTTACTTATTGCCGTAGAGAAAGAGGCATACCATCCTTCTTTTCTGAAGTATTAAATAAAATCTTTGCTGCACTTATCTCTTAAAACTTAGTGTAATATTGGATCTTCATGCGACTGTGTAAGTAGGTGAATATCTTCAGACCACGTAAATTTGTATGCATTATGATAACTGAACTCAAACCACATTGAAGAACTTATTTTTGTTACACTTTATTGTTGTAAAATCAAGTAGCGGAAGCTTGCACTTTGATTTGGAATAAACGACTGACAAGCTTGTGCAAGAACATTTTCTTTACCCTTTGGAAATGATCTAGAATATGGATTATGATATCAATTTTTAGTCTTGGTTTTTCATGTATTTTAGGTTTTCAAATGGTCTTCTGTTTAGAGCTTCAATTCCTCAATTTCTCTCCTAATTGCTTTTAGAACAATCCCAATAAAATTCCTAAGGTTTTGTTTACATGAAAAGTAGCCATCAAAATTACATTGCATACTATTGGGCTGGTAGGATGCTTTTCAGAACATTCTATCCTTCCTATTGGAATGTCCCAATATACTTTACTAATGTTAAGAATTATAATAGGAAATAATTTATTCCTAGAAGAAGTTATGATGAATAAATTATTTCTTTAATATAAGGAGATACTTCCTTTCATATTTTATATTTATTTCCTTGGATTAGCAATTATTTATTTTTCTATTTTATGTTATTTCGTATATCTCCTAATAATTAATATGAATTAATTATTAGAGGTATCAGGTGATATATTTTTTCCTTTCATATCATTTCCTTTTTATTATTTTTGTATCATATGATATATTTTTTTCTTTCATATCATTTCCTTTTTATTATTTTTCCTATTATAGGATTCTTGTAAGAGTTATTTATATCCCTGTTCATATCAATGAAATAATCAAGTATTTCACTTTATTCCGCATTATTCTGAATTTCAACATGATATCAGAGCCTAATTTCGTACCCTAGCCACCGGTCCTCCTTACAGAACTGTCGGACTCTCTTTCTGCCATCCTCCGTGCAGGAAGGGAGGGGGGCACTCATCTTGATCTTGACTGCAATTGAATTGGAGAAACGCTACCGATCTTTTTCTTATGAGATTTCCTTCGATCCAGCGATCTTCTGGGTAATGCTCTCGCATCAGATTGC